TGCTGGGGATTCCCGGGTGTGCTCTGGTATTCTATCAGTTTTGCGCGTCCGTGCTTTCTCGATCGCCTTTCCTCGACCATATCCTCGGATGGCTTGTATCTGTCGACCACTTATGATTCTCTTAACTGTCGCTATCTACTCGATGTTCTACGTGGTCGGTGTCCGGTCCTGCTCGACCACCGGTCCAGAATATAATATCCCATATCATCTAGTCCCCCCACTCTGGTCGAGTCTGAACGACTCGATCCAAGAGTAAACTTTGGTTTGTGTCGAGGAAGTCCCATTGCTTTTTCTTCGACCATCGACCCGTTCACTTCTTTTGTACGCTCGCTTTCTTTTCTAACTGTCACTTTCTGCCTTTTGAATTTCGAACTCCGCCACCTGTCCGCTTTTTAGGACGCGGCTTTTCATTTGCTCAAGACTAATGATGACCTCGTGGCTCGTGCTACCTCGATCTTCGCGTCCACTTGCACGCCCCTTCTCGCTTCTGCCGTTGGATTTTTTGCTTTTAATCCTACGGTCAGCCATTCTTCTTCACCCTTATAAATACCCATCCTTGAGAACTTTTTTCTCTTTTTCTTCACTGCTGCATATCATCATACTAGGGCTTCCTGCAACCGTCGAGCATCCTGCAACTTTGAGTTCTCCATCTCTCCTGCACATTCTCCACTGTTCGCCATGAGTAAGTCTTCTTTATCCTTCAATTCGTGTTAGTGCGTTTTTAATTTTCGGATTTTTCCTCTTCTTCCTCAACCTCTTGTCGATTTATAGCTCCGTCCGTTGTTCGTCCTTCCTGCTGTGCTTTCCCTCACTTCTCTTCCTCCTTCTCTTCTGTTTTTGCTCCTTCCTCCAACTAATTATAGCTTTTCTCCCTTTTATCTCAGATTCTGCTACTTCAAGTGAGAATGACCGACACAGCGGGAAGGACCTAACTCCCCCTTCTTCCTCTGCAACCCTTAGCCTCTCAAGTGATTCTGTAGAAGAAGTTCTTCAACCTGAGCCCCTTTCCGTCCTTCCTCCGACATCGACAAGTGATAGCCCTTCAGCCGCTGCTCTCCCTCCCTCCACATATCTTGTCGACCAGCCTGAAGGCGAGGTCACCAGTCGCCCTCCTTCTCCTCCCACCGAGCGTGCTCGTCGAGTTCTCGGCCAGGATGACGAGATTGAAGACGAGGATGATCTTCAAGACCACGTCCCGCTGTCCACTCGCATTCCTGTATCGTCTACCGAGCTTCCTCACTCCCCTCGTCCTAAGGTGTCAAAACGATCCAAGTCTTCCAAACCGTCGACGAGTGCTTCCCATCTCGACTTTTCTGC